CGACTGGCAATGTGTATGAGAATGACTTCATACATGTATCTAGATACTTCAAGAAATTAGCGTCTGTTTCATGTGAATGAGCATCCTAACCCAGTATCTGTTCGATTGAATTGCTTTAGTTTTGGCAAGACATCAACTTGGAGTGGGATGGACGAGTTGGCACCGCGGTCGGCTACGATCAAGGACACAATCGTGACATGTGTCAAGTTAAGCAGAAATTGATGAGCATCATACTATTTGTAAAGAACATTAATGACATATTAAGGTAATTATCTCCCCTTGTTCGAGACTAATATATTGTATCTATTTTGGGGTTCACTGTGAATCGCAGTAGTCCTGGAGTTTTGTGTAGTGTATTTCTATCCCACTAGAGTAGATAGAAAGATGATATTGACAGCAGTTCTTGTGACTCTGAGTTACTTGAACCATGATGGGTTCAGAACCAGGTCATCAATCTTCATGTGACATATTTTCAATTAGATTCAGATTCCAATTTATCTTCGGAACATGTTCATTAAGTGATAAGAAACTGGAATATATATATTTATATATGTTTAAAGAAATTAAAAATTACTGTTTCATTATTTTAATAACATCTTAGTAAGTTGTATGATATCCAGGCTTTAGGCAAGGTAGAACTAAAATCTCCTAACAAGGTTAATACAAATGTTTAGTTACAATGACAGTATGGTAAGAGGAAAGCTGGTGAACGAGGGTTAGTGTAAACTGGATCAAATGTTTCTAATTTAGGTTTTAATCAACAAGTGAATTATCTCTATCTTCATAAGATTTGGATTAAGAAGTCAAGTCATTAGATGGGCAGAAATGTGTAAAAATTGCCTTCTGATCCATCATGAGGCTGGTGTAAAATGATCGACAAAGACTATCCCACAGAACACAGAGAAAAAAGGTTTGTGCTGGGGTGGGGGATCACACATATCATAGACAGACATATCATATCTACCCTTTAATGAAAAAAATAAAGATTTCTCTGCTCTTTAATCAAAAATAAACAAATTGACATATACTATAGCTAAGAAAATGTAGAAATTAACCATTTCCTCTGAATACAAAAAAAAAAAAAATTATGAGTAAAAAATGCATATGTTTACACCTAATATTTAAAGTTTGGGATATAATGTACTTAAATGACACTTGGAATATGACCTATGAAAATTCAAAACATATAAGCTAGACAGAGTTTTGAATGTTTAATCCTAATGTGGTTGTAAATTATACTGTTATTCCCAGAACTCACACAAAACACTGAAATTGTCATAAGATGTCAGTACCAACATTTTGTGGCTGTTAAAATGTATATTAAGTCAATTCTCTGAAGGGAACTGATATTCGTTTGAAGTATTGAGGGTATGGGATGACATATATAAAACATTGCTATATGTACATACAAAAGTATGGAGGGTGTTTCAGAAAAAAAGTCACCTACAACCTGATGATTAAAATCAGCTGGATTATTCCCGAAAGTGCAGTAGAAACAGGGTGTCAATCTTATTCATCTATAAAATTCTAAAGTTACGTCTCTTGATGATTGACTTCCTCATCTAATAGCAATGGTAATTCGGAAAGATAATTTATTTTGGGTTTATTTCTAAAGTAATTAAGATTTTGAAGTGTGTATTAAATCATTCATAGCAATATATTATTTATATTATTTTCAGAATTTGAATTACAATATAATTACTGAAAACATCACTATTTTATGGACCAGCCAGTTTTATAGAAAGAAGCCTTCACAGCTGTGTTTGTTAAGTAAGATATATAGATAATAGGTTGAAAGTTTAGGAAAGGCATTCCACATTTGGACATAGCTGAGATAAATTTTACTATAATCTCTTAAGCTACAAAAAGGTGGACCTATTTTTACTTTACAATCATGTTGATAATAATTTTCTCTTGAGGAATTAAATTAGAGAGAAAATATCTACTTCATGAAATGATGCTGAAAGTGTTACGACCAAAGGCTTATACTTCCTGATAAAATTTCAAGCTTAAATTCTGCATAAAAAATAAATCTTTGATTTGGAGATGATCAATTTTTTTTTCATTGGACAAACATTTTATTTCCATTTGAGATGTATTAAATGCAAGCAGTAAATAATGCAAATCCTTGTAGTACTAGTTGATCCAGGGTGACCACTGCCCTTCATGAAGGTTGTATATTAGAATTGTAGTGAATTCAGGATAATCATGAATATCCTTTATAAATGTCACAAAAGATGTTTTGTGGATCCAATGCAACTGATGCCCTTGATTAAGGTCTTAGTAGGTCTGTATTAGATTCAGGGTGATGGTGAATGCCTTTGATGAATGTCATATTTGATCTGTAGTGGATCCAAGGTGATCGTGAGTGCCCTTGATGAAGGTCGTATTAGATCTGTAGTGGATTCAGGATGATCGTGAGTGCCCTTGATGAAGGTCGTATTAGATCTGTAGTGGATTCAGGGTGATGGTGAATGCCCTTGATGAAGGTCGTATTAGATCTGTAGTGGATTCAGGGTGATGGTGAATGTCCTTGATGATGGTCTTATTAGATCTGTAGTGGATTCAGGGTGATGGTGAATGTCCTTGATGATGGTCTTATTAGATCTGTAGTGGATTCAGAGTGATGGTGAATGTCCTTGATGATGGTCTTATTAGATCTGTAGTGGATTCAGGGTGATGGTGAATGCCCTTGATGAAGGTCGTATTAGATCTGTAGTGGATTCAGGGTGATGGTGAATGCCCTTGATGATGGTCTTATTAGATCTGTAGTGGATTCAGAGTGATGGTGAATGTCCTTGATGATGGTCTTATTAGATCTGTAGTGGATTCAGGGTGATGGTGAGTGCCCTTGATGAAGGTCGTAGAACTGTAGTGGATTCAAGGTGATAAAGAATATCCTTGATCAATGTCACATAAGCTTGTAATTGACGAATTTAAATGCTGTATTAGATCTATAGTGGATCCAAGGGGAATCATTCCCTTTTGATGAAGATCGTTTGAGAACTGTAGTGGATCAAGGGGAATCGTTCCCTTTTGATGAAGATGGTTTGAGAACTGTAGTGGATCCTAGGGGATAAGTGCCCTTTTGATGAAGATCATTTGAGAACTGTAGTGGATCCAAGGGGATAAGTGCCCTTTTGATGAAGATCGTTTGAGAACTGTAGTGGATCCAAGGGGATAAGTGCCCTTGATTAAGTTTATGTTAGATTTGTCATGGATCAAGTAGAATAAGTGACATGTCTTGTTAATATGCCCACACCCCGAAGTTGCTATTTAGAAACATTTTAAACCAGCACTTTATTACTATTCTGTAAGAGGGCACTCCCAGAGACTTTGAATCAGAAATAACATACATGTATTGGCTTGCCATGCTTTATACAGGACTACTACAGTAAATGGTTTTTGTTTTCAATACATTTTCCTGCAATGTAGAAATAAAACGTGTGCTATTTAGCCATTTCATTGTTGATCTTCAGTGCAATGCTCTTGTAATTAAAAGTTTTATAAAGAGCTAATGGGATATGTTGTGTTTAGGTTCACCTTTTGTAGTAGTCAACTCTTTGAAGTACATGTACCATCAGCCTGAAATATTGTGCTATAAATGGCCATGTCGGTTTTTGGCCTACTGTGTCTGGAGGCGGCTGAACTCAGCTCAGCTGTTTATTCATTTTAAGGCATACACAAGGCTATAGTGTTGTTATTGTGTACTTAATTATGACAGATTCTTGTTTGAATATTTATAACATTTAATTACATTGAAATATCAAACATTCAAAAGGTTGCTTCAGACTGATAAAATCTGCATGGATGATTATAACATGACTTTGCTATAATGTCAGTTGTTGACAAATTCTAGTTAACATGCAAAAGTTGGACATTGTTCAAAAAGGACTCTTCAAAATGAGAGAACATCTCTTGTGATATTGATGTAATTGGGCTATTTTGAAACTATTTGGAAATAAACATAGGAGAGTTAACTAAAACTGCTTCTTGTGGTTGAAGGGGTTTGGGGGTGGTTGAGGGGGGCAAAGATATTTGATTCCTGGTCCAAGTTACTCGAGGCTTGGTCAGAGATAATTAGAGGTTAGTGAAAATTTACAAATGTGAATTAAACAAAATTGATAACATTCTTTATCCTTTCCTGACAGCCCAAGACATGTTGAGACAACAATTTGGCCCTTTTTCCCAATAAAGGTGCAGAATTAAAAGGCTGTACAAAAGACACCTTTGATGAACACCTTTTAATAACTTGGAGTTAGATAAAGTAGAGCCAAACAATTGATTAAACTGCATCATACAGCTGTTCCATCCTTCTAGACTTAAATTTTGAAGACTAAGAGGCGACTGAGGAAAATCCAAAGTGATCAAAAGAAAAGTAGAAATTTCGAAGGGGAGCTGCAGCAGCCCCAGAATTAAAATGAATTTTGTAACTTTCATCAGATAAAACTGGAAAGGTGTGCTAATGTAAAACATATGAAGTATGAAATGTATTTTATGCATTACATGGCAAACTTGACATTGTTTGGAAATTAACAAGCAAATGTGTGGGCAAAATGACGCGTGGTGACTTCCTGACTCTTCTTGAATTTACCTGTTGACTTAGTTGTTTACTTATTGATATAAAATAGCACCATAAAAATGTTCAGATATACCAAACTAAAGTGGTCGCTTTCTGTTATCATACATTATGGAGTAATCATTAAAATTAAATGAGAATCAATAAACATGGAATTGAACAGTGATGACTTCAATCTGAAAGATACATGATGACACTTAGTGACTGTCATGAAAGGAAGCTGAATCCATTTGAGTGAAAAAAACTGGAACAGGTCCCAGTGCACCATAAAATACTTCTTCAAATTTTTAGTGTTAAATTATCTTATTTTCGTGACATGTTGTTTTCATTTTACAGAAAAAATGGGAAGATGGCATTATCAAAATGTGAGTTCTGAGGCTCTGCCATAAAGTAGAGTACTTGGTGGAGGTTTCCGGCCATCATGCATGTGCATTTTGAACAAAACACTTCCACAAGATCGGAATGTACCATCCACACTCTGTCCTGGATGGGAAAAGTTCCAGAAAGTCTTCCAGAGGAGGATGGAGGCTGGAAATTGAATCGTAGTCAATATTATTCAGAGGGGTGGCTGGCAAGTGGAAACGCCAAAGGAATTGTGGGAATAACTTTCACTACCAGTCATTGTCGAAAATATGATGCACCACAGAGGTCAAATTTCAACTTGAGAGGTCATAGAAGTGAGGTAAGTGCTAACATTGTGCAATATTACTATGGTGTTGACATTTAAAATGTTTGGTGAACTTACTGTTTAAAATTGTGATGTGATCAAAATTTTCTCAAAGTTGTTCAGACCAAAAATTTATTTTGAACTTTTGCTGGAGTTAAAATTTTTTTTTTAACGGATACTGGTTTTAAGATTAAAATCTATGACCTACAAGTATATCTTTTAAGATAGTGTCAAGTGAAAAAAGTTACAAACCTTTGTGAGGTATTGCTGTGACAGTATAGAATGCAGCATTTGGATATGAAAAATTCTCATCAAACAAAATCACAAAATGTAAAATTAGATGTACATTTATATACCATATTGTATGTATTAGGGATTTATCTTTCAGTGGAATTGCTTAAAGCACCTTGTGAAAACAAGTCTCTTGTCACTTTCATGTGAAGATATGTCAAGTGGGATTAATACTATTGGAAGGCATAATAGTGTACAGAATGCATTTTGGTTAGAATCTCTGTTTAGTGATTTGTGGCTGTACACCATTGTAGGTCTGATTTAAAGAGATTCTTAGAATTTTTGTCCTGTTTTTACCACTTCCTCATGACTGGCAATTTTTTTTGGCTTCAAGATTCATAACAGATTTCTAATGTTTCAATGTGGAATTGAGATGAAGATTTTCTTAAAGAGAGATGCTACATGTACATCTCTGTGACTTGCTGAAGTTTATCTCCTTTACCGAAGAGCTACAAAGATATCTTTCAAATGTATTTTTAGGTCATCTGACAGAAGAGTCTGTTCACCTTTTGTCCGGCGTCGTCCGTCGTAAACATTTTCAACTTCTTCTCAAGTTCTACATGTCTCATTGAGCTGAAACTTACCTGAAATGATCGTAACATGACCCTGACCAATTTTGAAATCTTGTATTTTATGTCAGATGATGATTAAGGCCCATGTTTTAATTATGATTAGGGCTTGTTATATTATGTTGGACTAGCATTTTATTGAATTGATGACATATGTTATGATCTATCTAGAATAGTGTTTTAGATATATGATTAGTTTATTTTGAGAGTGGATGGGTGTGTAGGCTCTGATATTGAATATTTTTTCTGCAGTTGATTCAATATCTATTGATGTACCCAATCTGAAAATTTTCCAGAGATGCAGGTTAATGTTAATTATGGGGGAGTTTTATAGTCGTCATAAAAACCTAATTGAGAAACGTTATATTTCTTTTTTTGCATTATGAAGCTGATCTTGCTTGATTCTGGTTAGTATGCCTGTTGGTTCTGTCGTATACTTTTTACCCATTTGTGAACTTGACATTACTTATGTGGATTGACAAAGATTTACATGTTGGATGTTGCTGATGAAGCAGAAGACACTTATCCTTCCAGAACACCGGGTCTCATTCTCAATGTTTTCTTTTTAGGATCACTTGATGTAGATATTGGTTTGTTAATGATTTTTGTGCAAAATAATTTACTTGACCTAATTTGATATTGGGTCAAGATGGTTCATATTTCCTGTATATGTACTGATACTTACCATGAGCGTTAGTCATAGGTAAAGAGTCATGCTCCATTAATGCCTATAATATACCAGTTCATGTGTTAAGTAGATGTGCTGATAGTAAATATTGATTTATAGCAATTTTGTAAATCAATAAGTTATTAATGATTTTATTAAAGTCAATGAGCATTTCAAGTTTATATTCGAATGGAAACATTTAAAAAAAAATTCTTCAAATATTTTTGTTGACTTACAAATATGAACCTTTTTTAAAGGTATCAGAATTGATGATTTTTTTCCCCAAGAAAATTAGTTGGTCTTACATCACCAACTCGCAACATTACAACTTGACTCATCTTGTCAGTTTGTTATGTAGTGGGAGAACTAAAAATAACGTCCACGATAATGATTCTTTAAAGATGTTTGTTTTTGAAATTAAGAGTTTTTTCTCGTTTGCTAAAAATCCTCATATTGATTTTTGTGACGTGATCCTGTCAGTTGTGGCCTTCACTAAGTTCCAATCAGACGATTAGATACTACTGTCTCTCCCACCAAAGTATCGGGCCTCTAATATTGCCACAAATACCGCAAAGATGATAATTTAGTTTGAAAAAAGCAATTTTACCAGACGACTTTTAGTCAAAATCAATTGTCGAAAAATCTTCCTTTTTTTCAATTAACAATTCCATTAGAATGTCTTTCTTCTTCAATTTTATCAAAAAGTAAATCCAATGAAAAGTGCTTTCCGAGCCTGTGTCAAAACAGTTTCATTGAATTCATTGACAAACAAGTTTATTGAAACTTTTTCTAATTTCATTTAAGAAAACCTGTTTTTACAAATCATAGAAAAAAAACAAACAAAAAAACAAAAAAAATGTGTTGAAAATTTTTTTTGCTCCTTTTAAAATACAATTTGTTAAAATTATGCTAAATATAGCTACCTTATTTTTGGCCAAAAGCAATTGCTGGGAAAATTTCAAATGGTTCCGGTTAACAATAATTACCTTTTCAAAATGCTGTTGAAAGGTCAGCATATTTTTAGGTCATCTGACCTGAAAGATGAGGATGACCTATAGCCATCGTGTTTCACTCATCGTCGTGTGTTGTGCATAAATTTTCCATTTAAATGACTTCTCAATAATCAGATGGCTCAGGGTACTGATATTAGGCCTGTAGCATGATGGGATGAAGGGCTACCAAATTTGTTGATATGAATGACCTTGACATACTTTCAAGGCCAAGGGGTCAAATATGTTAAAATCTTTAAACGATTTCTTCTCAATAACCAAAAGGCTCAGGATGCTTATTAGGGCTTGCAGCATACTTGGATTTAGGGCTACCAAGTTTGTTGATATAAATGACCTTGACCCACTTTCAATGTCACAGATGTCAAATATGTTAATATGTCTTGATGAACCAGCCAGTGTGTTGCTATGTAAGCTGTTGTGTAGTTGAGCAATTTTTCATATAGAAGTATTTATAGTAAGATGACCCTCAAGGCCTGTGGGCATGTTGTTGTAGACAAATTCTAGAATTTAATTCATAACAACAAACTGCATTGTATTAGCTGGTATTTTGAATATATTGTTCACCAGGTTGATACAAGACTATTGAGCTGTGATGGGTCTGATATACTGTGGTATCTGGTATCTGTATATCGGGATGGTTGCAAACCCTTTTATCAAAGTTGCCCTGACTTTTTTTTTTTTAATTCCTGGCTAAGAAGATGTTTGATATTAAAGTTAAGTGTTTTCACACCAAATTATATGAATGATTTTGAGAAGCTTGAAATCAAATGCAGTATGACGGAGTTGTCCCTCTTGTCTTCTTCCTTGAGAGTAGAATGCCAAACTGGGGTTGTGTTTTTTCTGTTTTACAGAGAAACCCTATTGTTATGATATTGTCTTACCAAAATTAAAATATTATAATAACTAGTATAATTTTACCTGGCCCCTGTGATTGTCAAAACCATTTTACTGTGTGAAAAGCCACAACAATCATGTGAAAATCATATGTTCCAGAGGTTTTGCTACCTAAGCATCTTTTTACAAATGAAGTTACGTAATATTCCTATTTGATTTGATAAATCTTTTATCCTCCGTAAGTGTATTGATATAAATGAAAATATCATATATTGCAAATAAATCATTACGCAAATGTAAATATGAGAAAGCTATGCACATCGACCTATTTCTGGCAACATGCTGTTGCAGCATGAACACAAGACGAAAGACTGAATTTCTGGTGGAATAGCAGTCATTGTAGGGTAATTGAAAACACGAAGATGCTTACATCAAAATCCATGAGTATTTACAAAATTACAAGAAACGTCATACCAAATTGGTAGAAAATGGATAGTAGAAAAAAGTTTGAAGTCTGTATACGCTTTTGAAATTCTTTACTGTTCGAATTGTTGAGGCTGAATAAGAAGCCTTGTTTATGTAATCGTACTGACTGTGGAGACTTTGGTGGAGTTTTGGTTGCATGCATTGCCACAGGTAAGTGACTTCATCTCCATCAAATGTTTACCAACAGCCAGCGATGAAATTTACATGTAACAGGTGCCCCTGTTTGGCTACCTCAGGGTGCCTCAATGAGAATTATTGGATAATTAGTGTCATAAGAAATAGCCCAGGTGTCAAATATGGACATTTGTCTGATTAATGATAGCCGACGAAAATCAATTTTGAGCAGAAAAAATATGATAATAACCATTATCCCATGTCACACTCTATCACAATATATAATTTTCTGTGCTTAATATAAAGGGAATGTTCTGTACATTGAAAAATATCATAATAAGTGGGATATCATAATTTCTAATATCTTAATCAGTAGAATCCACTGTTATTGCTGCTGTTTCTGTAATAGTTTGTGATTTTTAATACTATGTCTGAGCACCATGTAAGATTTGTTTTATCTTTACAACCAGTATAGCCTTTCAGCTACACACTTTTGTCAGATATTTTTTTCAGTCACAAAAATTATCATAAATGATTTTGACAAAGACAATATCTATAACCATCTTTTAGCTGTTAAGATTTTACCATTTGGGTTGAAAATTTCTTCTCTGTCACTTGAGTTTTTCATAAATGATTTTGTTTGAAGATGTAGAATGGTGTAATAAATATTTAAGCTGTCGTCAGGAAATGGTATTTTTCAACCATCAAACTTGCCATGAAAGTTACAAATTTTTGTCACCAAATCAAAAACTAGCAGCTATCTATTTATTGTGCTGTAACATTGGCAAGCAATAAATCCTACCTCTATAACATGTCTTCATTCACACTTCAGATAGATTAATTATCTTTGTGATATTATCAGTTGCCCACTCAGACTTATTATATTTCTAAAAGAATGTTTACAAAGAACTTGCTTTTAGTGTTATGAGATTATACAGGGGTATATGGTGACCACTTTGTCTGTGTGTCTGTGTATGATCAGTTCCTATATGTGTACATCCATGATAGTCTTCTGAACAAGATATCTCGTAAACCTATGGACAG